CTTTATTTTCTAATGTACACTTTTGGACAAAATATTTGTTATGATTTAAATTTTTATTTTAAATAACTAATCGCGTAAAGTATTTGCTTCAATAAAGAGCTTTATAATAAATCGTTTTTCACTACAAATTAAACTTGTAACACAAAAACCTCTTCATATTATTACACTAACGAAAAAAAAAAGTTACGGAAGAAATGAAAGAAAAATAAACAATTTAAAAAGCGTTGAATATTTTAGGTTTTTTTCGACAGTGATGTTCGGTGTAATCGCTTTTTTTTTTGTTAAAAAGTACGTTGTGACGCAAATAGTTCGTTGGAAAAAGATGTTGCGGATGTTTTTTGTGGATATTTGCGTTTCCATGATAATGTGGATTTTGACGCCGTCATATAAATCCGGTCGTTTTATGCTCTCATCTCATACCGGTGAAGATAGCACTACTCGTCTAGACGCAACAGCAGTTTGCTCTTTGCGTACTTTGCTTTATGGAAGAGAAGTAGCATAATGAAAAATTTTATTATTCGCGAGAGTAGCGACCGCGATGTTGGCGTAGATGGTCATTTGAGTACATGTGAAATTATAATTCATGAATTATAGCGAGTACGAGCCGGTGGTCGATGGAGGATAACACAATCGTGGGAAAAATACTGATACTTTTATGACTTGCCGCACTCAATGAGTTTTAATTATCGGTCGTAGTGATAAATTGACAATTTATGCAATAATTCTCGGTAATTTTCACGCGAAGGAAATTGCCTAAAACATGCAATAGCGTGAAGCTCAACGCGCTATTTCTCTACTACTAATTTTTCTAAAAATGGAAATAATACAATTTGCAGTCTATTCAATCACTGTACGCATCAGTGTTCAATAATAAATTGTTTGTGTGATTTAGAATTGTTTTTTTATTTATAATTTTATTTATAATTTTAAGCCATTCCATTTTATCATAATCTTAAGGTAATCTGTAAATAAATAATGTTAATTAAAAGCAAGATTTAAATTTTCATTTTATGACTGACCATAGTATAAATAAATTTTGTTGAAAGGAAAGAAATGTCAAAAATATATTATATTTTTTAACTAAATTTTGCTTTCGAAGTTTGAGTTATAGAGATATGTAATACAGATATCGAATCGAATTTTTTTTTGAACATGTGTATCGTGTTTCATCTGTGTAATTGAACCTTTAACTGAATGTAGCATTATGAAGCAGTGTGCAATTTATGCTCAATGCACGAATCCTTTATCCATAATATTCACTTGTATACTTCGTATTAAAATCACGTACGTTTGACATGCTGCAATAACAAATCTAGTAACGAAACCTGATATGTTGTGCTATTGAATATTGATGGGCAGCTTTTCGCGGGCAGTAAATACAAATATCTTTTTTTCAGAAAATATATCATTACTATGTTTTCATTTGATCTTTATGAAGCGATTATCAATGCATTCGATTCAATATTTGACTCTTATACACTTTCATGTGAGATATAATATAAAGTTCCATATTTCAATTGCGTCACACGTGGTATTTGTGATCAAATAAACACTGCGCGAAAATAATAAGAAATTATTAAATAAAGTTTTTTGATATGGTTTTACTTTGTTTGGATTCTAATTCCATGTCAACGTTGCAATGTCTCTTCCGCAAACACGCCTACACATACATATACTTACTTTGGATATGAATCTCCATTTGACAATTCAGCAACAAGCCGAAACTGGGGAATATTAATTGGCAACAATTAGCAAGTTGTTTCGTCTGTGTAACGCGGTAAGCCCCACTGTCGATTGTGTCAGATGAATTCACTGATTAGGATAAGCAACCAATTGATTATAACGAGAATTTGCTCGTTAGCAATGATTTTTGACTGCAGATTAATTACTTACGCAACATAGCCCGAAATGATAATTTTGTGTTCCGCAATGCACGTAGTGTAAATTCATCATTTTAGTAGAATTGAGTAGTAACTAGTTAAAATGTTAAAAGATAAAAAAGAAAGTTAAAAATTTAATAACTTTTAATTTAATGTAATTAATTTTAAATGCATTAATTTTTAACTCAATTTAGTTACTTTTAAACTTTAATTTATTAATTTTTTTAATTAAAACTTTTTTATCTCTTTTACTGCCAATATTTTTTTCTATAAGATCTTATATTAGAGAATTAATTTAGAAAAAGCTCAATGATTTTGTAATTAGAGATCCTAATAAGAGTCACGCCATAATAGCCAATTTTGATTGGCTTATTAGGTTTTATCAATTTCCGCTTATATTTGAATCACACTAATTTTAGGTGTTACAAATATTATACAATATTTCAACAATATATGAAATGATTCTTAGATGAAGAATTATTGTAAAACAATGCTCCCTTTTCTAAATTTTTACATATATTTTTTGTAACAAATATTTAGTCGATGTAATCGTAAACATATGTAAGCAATGTGAACGTTTCAGAAGAGATTAGGTTAAAGAAAAAGAAATAGCTAATTTATATACCCTTCTCTCTCGCAGGATTTTGACAAAAAATTAGCCTTATTAGTTTAATTTTTATTATAAATAACTTAAATATGAATAAAAAATTAAGCTTATCTATATACAATAATCTATATTGTAATTGTTATTTAGAATAATCTCATTTGAAAAAAAATTAGGATATTCTGATTTTAAAAATATTTTTTTTCAAAATTAACTTTTTTCTTAACTCAAATTAATTCAATCTTAACTTAACTTTTATTAAGTTAATTTTTTGTTCCTTCGAACTTTTAATTCAATTTTATTAATTTTATAGGCATTAACTTTAACTTAATTTAGATTTAAATAAAACATTAACTTATCCAACTCTGCATTTTAGTGTGGTTATAATTAAATTAAAAAAAAATTAAATAATTTAATTTATTTGCTAATTGTTTATTTTTGTACATATAACTCTTCACGCTTATTACATTTATTAGATCCCATCACCTCTAATGTCTACATTTTGGCATTGAATATTGGTTGTTGGTGGTCGATGACAGTCCAGCGTTAAACTGTAAATTAGAATAAAAACAACTATATCAATATCAAAAATCGGAGATATTATATCACATACATATAGGACTGAAAAAATTACACATTCTTTAAATATAAAAATAAAAATAAATGTAAAAAATTTATAAGTTTTTGTGATTTTTTTTTTAATAAAGGGAAGTGTTATGAAGTACAATACAAAGTAAAATGTTGTAGAGTGTACATTTTGAAGATTTTAATAATTGTTTGAGAGATAAATAAAACAAAAATTACTTTATAAACCTTTGTGTTTTTTTTTTAAATAAAGGGAAGTGTTATGAAGTATATATATATATATATGTATTTTTACGAGGATTTTAATAATTCAAAGGCTAAATAATAGAAGTCATATTGATATTTTCATTACTATTTTCGTTATTTTATTCAGTTTACAACGTTAACAAGAACATTGTGATTCAGTAATTACTGGTAACAATTACGTTAATTGCAGTAGCGATGAGATTTATGATCTATAATTTATACAAAAATATGTTTTATCGTATATAATATATTTATTTTTAGTTTCGTTTAAATACTGAAATTATGTTATTGTCGGTTTTTAATTGCAATAAATCTAGTTGGTCTCTCACTTCTAATTAATGTATGATGCGGGATATAGATACATTACATAATGCGACGTGATAATTTCGTTAATTCGATTATGTTGCATTGCTTATTAATTTAGGAAATTAACTACCTATAAAAAAAACCGACATAAATAACAAATGAAATACCGTTTCTGTAAATATCTAGGAATGTTGTATGTTCTTCTTTAATTTATTTTTTAATATTCATGTTTTTAATTTATCTCACAAAGTCTTTTTCACATTAATCTAAATCACGTTATATATTAAACTAATTTAAATCTATTAGGTAAGATAGTGGTAATATATTCGCAATTGGTTGAATGTCTATAAAGTTAGGTATTCGTGATCGTGGTAGTCTGATCACACAAACTAACGCTCGTTCTCATTCTTAATTGTACAATAGATATCTGGATGACCGCACAGATATAAGACTCATTGGATCGCATAAAATCACTCCTCGGCATCAAGAGACATTAATTCACCGACGATCGATAAACGGTCTATCGTTACGAACTATTGCTACAATACTGATGTCGCAACGAAGCGATTGCTTCATCTCAAAGGAAACTATCGGCATCATTAACGCTTTACGTTTCAGACATCTCGTCAATCGCTTCTACAAAGGAACATTCCTATACTTGCAAAAGTGCAGTATCGCTTCTAAACTTGATGGAAAGTGCTAAATTTGTATACAGCAAAGTAGAATACTTCTTGAAATAAAAGTATTTACAATTTCTTCTCGAAAAATTTTTGCTAAATATTTTTTCCTATATTTCTAGTTCGTTTGTAAAACATTAAGTTAATTATATTTATTATGCACGTAATAATACTAAATTTATATACTATAAAATACGTTATATATATATATTTTGTCATATATGTATATATTATACAATATATTCCATTATAATGTATAATATATAATAAAAATAACCTTATCATACTTACACACGTTTCGAAATTCTTACATTTCTTACACTTCTTATGGTTTATTAAATTACTAGATGCTTTTTTAAACAACCTCAGAATATTTTTCTGAACATTTCTATTATCAGAGAATATTCTCAAAATGTATATGTTTGTATTCATTATTAAATTACTTTTAAATATTTAATATTTATTTAATTTTTAGCTAAAAACACCATTAAAACAAAAATCGTTTAATAAAAAATATTCTCACGATATGATTATTCAAAATATTATTAGAATATTCTCGAGCTATTCTCTCTGTCTCTCTTTGCAATGAAATTATTTTGGAAATATTTTCTATGAAAATAAAAATATATTTTTTCTATGAAAATATTTCCAAAAATATCTCCAAAATATTATATCATATTCAATATTTTAATATAAGGTATCATCTTCTAACATTTTTGAAAGCTGGAATACAATTTCAAAATACTCTGAAAAACATCGTTTTCTTTCAAAAATATTTTCCATTAATAGACTATTCGCCATTGATAGACTCATTCGCTTTCATAGACATAAGTGTTGTCCAATTCTGCATCCGTGTGAATTTCACCATTACCAGAATAAGATACTTTGCTGTATTTGTGGACGGATTTTCGTTTACGGATGTACCAGGTGAACACAAAGTAAATAATAATAGCAATCATTAAGCCCAAATTGACCAAAAATGCCACAGTTAATCTGTGGAACCACACTGTGGATTGCATTTTCCAAGAAATGCTATTCAGCACGCATAATGATCTTCCGTTGTTCCACGTAAACATCGAATCCGCGTGACAGGCGATGCAGTCCGCGTCACTAGGTCCTTTGCAGGATAGGCACGAGTAATGGCATATGGTGCAGAAAGCACCGGAATCGTCGTCACCTTGTATTTCGTAAGTTCCAGGTGGACACTGTTCCAAGCAGTTGCCATTGTTGTGATTCCAACCCGGTTTGCACACTGAAAAATTAGATACACTATTGACGTTCTTCATTTTCGTTTAATTGAAGTTGTAATGTGAACTTGTAGTGTGTTGTTGCTATCGCTGTTGCTTATTGCAGTGTGACGTATTGTTACAGCTGATTGACATGTGATGTGACGAATGTTGCAAAAAATAATTCATGTTGATTAAATTTAGATAATTTTAAATTTTTCTCATAAAAAATAGATTAATAGAAATAATGATAATTAAATATAACAATAAAATTATTTAAACAAATAATAAAAATAATATTATTTAAATAAATTTGTCTGTAATGCCATTCAATCGTTTGGACGGTTAATCATACAACATATAGTTAGGTTTATTTGTAATATTCAATATGAATTATTTAAAAAATAAATGTTTATATAATGAAACATATTAAGATTAAGTAAACAACTATTATAATTATTTCATTAATATTATATATAGTTTAGGCTTTGGCGAACATTGAAATTCTCGACATTAAAATCTTGTAAAACTAATATTTAAATTTTATTGCAAATCTTTATAACTAGTTTTGGATATTGAACTTATAAATAATAGATATTAAATTATAAATTCAATATATGTTATTGTAATATAAATTCTAAATATAAAATGCCCAAACAACACAAGTCTAAAATTATATAATAACATAAGACATCTTTAAGTCATTTTTTAGACGCAAAAAACTTATGATTTGATTTTAAACACTTTGTTGTATAGGTGAAGAAAACTACGTTTTATAAAAATCGATTCGATAGCTATGTTTAAACTTTACATAGAATTGATTTTACGAATAATACTTTCTATGTATGTGCATGTGAAACATTTAATATAAATTTATCAATTAGCCTTCAGATATTTGGATAATTGATTAATTAAATATATTAGAAATATATGTTCATTGATAGGCATAAATTCGATTATTTGAAATAATCGATGTGTGCTATCGATTCGCCCAGGCCTAAAATTATATATCCGTAATTCTTAAAAATACGTATTAACTAAAAAGTATATAACTAAAAAATAATATTAGTCCGTTCATACTAAAAGAAAATTTAAAAAATGATCTTCGAAATTCATACATATATATATAAATACATGCACAAAATGATAAAGCCCGTAACATTACTCTCAAAATCTTGCGAAGCATGCGAAGCATGCGAAAGCATATATATGCCATGCTACAATATATTCCATTTATAAATTTTACAAAAATAAATAATATTTATTGGAACACAGTACTTAAAATAGTAACAAATAAAATGCACATATATTATAAATATTATTTTACTGCACTTGCATTATGTATTGCATTCATACTTCATATATGTATTGCATTTAAACTTCATAACATATAGACATGACAAGTTTGTGGAGTTTACAAGATTTGTTATCTACAAATAAAGTACATTAGTTTAATCTTCATTCATGCATTATGTACACCTTCATAACGAAATAAATTACTTTACATACTAATTTCTACAAAATAAAATACAAGATGAATGATAATTGACATTACGTGTCAATGTTATTATATGTATACTATATGTATACTACATATTTACATTAAAGTTTCTTTTTACAATGGCATCTTTAACATAATATTGTTGTTTTTTTATATATACAGTTTGTATAATAAAAAATAAAGTAAATGTATAAAAAAGGAGAACCGTGACATTTTTTTTCATATTATATAAATCTCTCTTTTATATATTAATAAAGATAAAAAGATATAAAATATAGAAAAATATATTGTATTTCCGTTCAGAAACATAATATATCATACAATGTAAAAAATAAACAGCGACGTATGTAAATTTTAACATTTAATACATACTTATAATTTCTTTATTAACGATTGAATCATACTCCATTACATTTATAAAATGAAAATGAAATGTATAAAAATATTCTGACACTATTAATATTATTGTTAATATTTAGTACATAATATTATTATACTATAACATATAACATTATTTTGGTAGATTAATAATATAATTGTTTATTATTTGACGATAATGATTGTATAGTACTAATTAATACTAATTATAGTATAATATTGATTTTTATAGCAAATTAATAAATGTGAAAATTTTTTACGAAATTTAAGAACGTAAGCAAAGGAAATATGTGCATAGACAAAAGCAGTTGGTACAGAAATGAGAAAATAGAAGCTATTTCTCGTCAAAGTACGTGAAACCTAAGGGATTTATTTCTCAGAAGCCTTAAAATGAATTCTGAATTATACACTTCTCTTAATAACTAAGGCAACAATCATAAAGCTCTATTAATTAAATTTATATTAAGTATCTTGTTATGATATATTATTTATCAAGATTGTAAATCATTAATCACTTATATATATGATATGAAAAATATGAAAACTGCACAAAAATACGAAATATTCTTAAAAAGTAATGTAATTACAAATCCAATATTCTTTTTTTTCTCTCTCGTAGAAGAATCAATTACATTTTTATTATTAACAACTGGCTTTCTCTAATTAACTCTTGAATTTTTTGCAAAGTAAAAACTCATTAAAAATTTTAATAACCTATTATTAAATTTTAATAACCTATTATTAAATTTTAATAATTCGAGTTATTAGAATTTCTTTAGCTACTAACATTAATAATTTATTAATAACGCATGGTATTAAAAGCTTAATTAAAACAAGAAATTATATACATAAGAAAAAATCGAAACATGTAAATCTTTTTTGGAAGACCTTATAAAAAGCAAGATATAAAATTAGACTATAATGGGAAATGAATTTCGATCCTTAGGCAACCAAGTACTTTTGAGAGTAATAAATCGCGCAATAGAGGATTAAAATAGGATATTATATAGAAAGAAGAAAGAAGTAAGACTCACCCTGCTGGTGAAGCGATCAGGGATAAGGCTGTTTTTTTTTGTATTTATGTGCGGTTGTGGAGATGTGGATGTGGTTGGTGATGGTGATGATTGGTAGTTGGTGGCTGGTCTGAGAAAGTCCGCGTCCGGCACTCGTCCCCATGGAGAGTCCAAGTACCTAAATACGTTTTCTGAACCTGCTATAGGATAAAGGGATAAAAGGCAACGTTCGCGTGACAACTTCGAAACGGTTTATATCTCACAAATAGTTTGATCTATATACGTGTAATGCTCGCCGAAAAAAACCTTCCTCGTTTTTCAGATTATATTATTCATATAGGATATTTGAAAAGCAGGAATTTTAAGAAATAATTTGGGGAACACTTTATTCACGTATCGGCACGTAACTTTATCTGTGATTTGAAATGATGGAATTAGAAAGAAAAGAGATAATATATTCATTGTATTCTGTTTCGAATTAATAAAATTAAAGATAAAATTAATAACATTAATTTAATAGCTGTAAGTTCTCAGATTGGAATTGATATCAAGAAAATATAATTCTATTTTACTGACAAAATGGGAGTTGTAAAAGCAAATCCACGCGTTTCCTATACAATTCTAATAAAATTATTAATTGAAATATAGTTATTATAATAATAATGCGTAAGAAAGTAAGAATATTGAAATGGATAGTAGATCTTTGAATTATCTTCCAATGGCTCAATTAAATTGACTGATAAGTTCTTGTTAATGTACTGGACATCAGGACGATCTGGGATGTGTTCGCACTGATTAATCAAATCCCTAAAAGTTATTGCCGCACGGTGGATTAATCGTTCCTGTCCTAGAAGATCGCGATAAAGGATAATTGTACCAGGTCCACATTGCCACAAGCTCACACGGTTCTCTAACGTGTCGTCTTCCAACGCTCTCCACGTCCGTTTCGATCAAGATAGAATGAATAGATGGTTCAATAAGGGAAGGATAAAAAGCGCACCATTAATTAAATTGCAAGATAGAATCATGTTTTCGAAAAATAATAGTTTTCAATAAAAATTATATGACTTACATATCGTGAATAAAAAAGTAACGTAAAATCTTTTTTGAAATGTAAAGAAGAGTAATATCATTTTAATTTATTTGTTATATCTTTTCAACGTATAAAGTATTAGAATACAATATACAGTTCAACGGATTGGAAAAAGTGTGTCATGGTAAGAAAACTTCAGTGAATCACCTTAATATTATCAATTTTGAAGGGAGAAAAGACTAGAGAGCTCCTATATATTTTATTTCTCCATCATGTAAATATATTTGAACTGGAAACAGGAGTAAATTAGAAGACGCACTGAAATTGCCGATAAAATATACTTCAAACACATTGCACAAATGCATGCATATAAGCGATAACGACGTTTCAAATGAAATGTCGTGTCATGCTGTTTCAAAAGCCATTTATTTTGACTAAACTTACTAAAAAGTAAGTTAGAAGTTCAGTATTTAGTATTCAATGTGCATCAATATGCAGAATTTCGTGCAGAATTATTAATATTGCTGTATGGTATATTATCAATATTTTTCAAATCTATATGTGTGTTTCATACATAATTAAAATATTTATAATCTAATTAAAAGATCTCACATTGATATAATGTTAGACTGTTTACTGAATTATTGAATTATTCATGAGAACACATGAGAAGCACTTTCATACATAAAAAAATTAAATTTTATTCTGATATTCACTTCTTTGTTTATTTCTTTTGACGTCTATCATTCTCTCATTTCTTCAAGTTTTTGCGTTGTCTTAATACCTTCTTTCTTATAAAAGAATATGCCAATTACAGATTAGAGTTGCATGCACATCGAAAGGTATGATTAAGGTTAATGTACATTCAAAGGAAATCATTGGTTATGCATTGTTATCTTTGATAAATTGAATATTCGTCTGAATATATTTTGTAATCAAACAATGCTCAATTACTTGACCTTAATGAGAAATAAAATGTCTTTATAACCAGTAACTTTAACGCAGTTTGTCCTTTATAAACGCAATTTACAACATTTAATAACTTTAATTAAAATACTTATTAAGTTTCTAATTTCACGTCTTTGAAAAAACCTTCATCAA